GTGTCTTCCCTCCTGGATGCTCCTCAGATATGACATCCTCCAGGGTTGGGAAGGGCTCTGAGATCTGACAGGGACCATCTGGGGGTTTTGTCTCCTCCTGCAACAGAGAACATGAGTTGTTTGTGGGGAACATCTGGGGATATTTTGTTTAATCAATTTTTTCTACTGCTCCTGTGGCTTTGGGTATTAGTAGTGTCTCTGCTACTTCTGTTGTCTGACAGAGGCACGCAGCAGTTGAGTCTCCTGAGAGTCAACTAAACCATATTATTGGCTCCCTCCAGGCGTAGCTGGGTGAAACTTAATGGTCCATGAGATACAGAAAGTCAGTAGAAATGATCTAATGTCCCCTTCTAGTCTTAAACTCAGTGAAATGGTGAAAATTCTGCTTCTAAAGGAAATGGCAGATGAGCGTTGCCAGGATCTCCTACCAGGCTTCTTCTCCAGCTGTGTCCATGGGGAGCAGTTGCCTTTTTGCAGTCGTGTTTGCAGATTCTCAGCAGAATTGCTCCATTTTCACTCCTGGAGACCAAATCCTCATTCCCATCCTTCTGTGCAGCTCATTTTCTCGTTCTCCTCCGTCAAATGCAGAGACTGTTTCAGCCCCTCTTTGTGGTGACAAAGAGAAACTTTTTTGTTTCCCTTCTGCTTTTACCAAAATCCAAGTGAGATTTCTGTTATGTCTGAGATCTGCCTTTCACCTGATCAAACCTCCAGTTCCATGACATCCCTGGCCCTCCTGAGTGCAGGAATCAGTCTTGTGCAGTCTTGTGCATCTACTTTCTCTGTGATTTTTGGCCAAAACCAAAGTCTACCAGGAATTTTTATAGACTCAGAACAACTCTTTTGCTTCCCTCTTCTGTAGAAAAAATGTGCAATTTAAAGTTGTGAGCATGTATTTTTCTTTTTGCAAAGGTGATCAGAGCTCCCTGTCTTCAGCTGCTGGGTAGGTGTCCTTTCCTGCATGTGTTTTCGATAAAATCAGTGTTTCGTCTCTTAGATTTAAATGCTTTACCTTGAATATTTCCATATGAAAAGTGAAACTTGAGAGAAATCGCAGGATTAGAAATCCTAGAGTCTGGGGATTTCAACCGTGAGTGAAGCACAGCAGAGTGTGCTTTTTCCTCATCTGAATTCAAGGACACACCAGCTCCACAAAGGCAACCTTTCCACAAAGGGAGAGGGGAGAAGGCCTCCTTCTGCTTGCTCTACCACATCAGTCACTTTTTAACTAGGTACCAGAAATCTTACAAAGCTATTTTGTTTTTACTGTAAGCTAGGAGTGGTTTTAGAACAGTCTGAGGAGGTCTCACCTCACCTGGCTGCAACAGGCACTGTGGAGTTGTGTCCAGAGTGTAGCTGGTTGTTGCTGGGTTGTGTTTACAGTGTAACCAGGTGACAATCAAATTAAAGCCTCTGCTTTTACCTAATTTTATTTGTGGGATGGCACTAGGGAGCCTCAGTGAGAGATCCTGTGCCCAGAGAAGGAAGAATATGGGATGTCCATGGTGCTTGGTGCAGGACACACTGGGAATGTCCTAGCCAAAAGCCCCAACGTGATCAATTATACAGGACTGAACAGGGTCAATAAGGTAGTAGTTGCCATGGTTATCAGTCATTATGAACTGTATTTTCCGAGGGCTTGTTTAGAGGAAAACTTTTCTGTAATTAATTATAAATTCATTTTAAGATAATAGCAGAGTTACAACCCAGAATAGGTGTTCTCTGTCCTTTCCCTTTGTGCAGCCCAAAGGCCAAGAATAGCACATGCAAACTGTCACAAATGTCAGCATTTACACCCAAGTGAACACTCTTCGCTCGTGCTCACCTCCTTGGATAGGCAGACATTTATGCTGTTGCATTTCACCCAGTTTCCCACCTGTAGAAATGAGATTCTGAGGCTGAACGGTCCAAATTAAAGTGCTTGAGCTAATTACCAGACTGACTGCAACTCTCTTCTGTAGGTAAAGCCAGCCAGTGGCCACCCAACAAGTAGCTGCCACAAGGCTTGCAAAGTGTGATGTTATCATGGCCAATTGACCAGCAGAGCTCAACTTGTTGGACCATCCATTCTAGCACGATCTTTGTCCCTTTTATGTTTCATAATCTTTTTAGAAAAGCATCAGTCAGAGGTTAGTGACCAGCGAGGAACTCATCAGCTTCTTCCCCTCTAGAAAAACAAAGAGAATTTAAAATATTTGTTTCCTCTAGTTAAGGTTTACAATTCTTAATAGTATGTTATTAGGAAGTTGCAGAGCAATCAAATGAGAACACAATTGTTAATAAATTTGCTTAATAATACAATTAAAGCAAATATAAAGAAATTCCAGCTATTTCAGTGTATTAAGTAAATGGCAAGTAATTTCTTTTTAGTTTTGCTGGGTGAAGTAATTTGGAACATCTGTATTTTAAAATAGTCCTGAAATTTAAATTCCTTTGCTGCTGTTGGTTTTACATTTTGCCAAGTTCAGTCCCAGGAAGGTGGCTGCAGTTCTCACTCTTTTCATTTTTCCAGATGAATTGACACAACAGTGTCTTTGTTGTTCTTTGGGTGGTAACGCTCTGCAAGTCTTTTTTTTTCCAGATTATCTGTCTTGTCCATGGCTCCTCTTAGTCTGAAAGTACAAAGCGAGCTAGGGTTCCTTCCAGACTTACTAATGATAAAGACTGTTCGTTCTCCCAGTTGTCTTTGGTGCAATCTGTTTCAAACGCTGGGATTGATGAGTGTCTCAGAACAGTGTAGGAGGGCTGCCTGAGCGTGACTGAGCCACAGAGTTAAAAAAAAAAATATCTAAAAAATAATAGATTCATTTCAAATAGAGAATAAAATTCAAGGAAGCCATGGCTTGCCTAATACTAAACAAAGCAAGCCAGCTAAGTTTATTGTCTGGATTATTAATTGTGCTGGATTGTTCAGCTGCCCCGAGAATGTCACTTTAATCATTCGGTGAGTCTGAAGCCCGGGTCTCCAGAGATGATGTTCTGATGTCTCACATATGGTATATCGCACTGTTCATTAGACCCACTGGTCCAGTCACATGGAAATGATGTTCAGACTATTTCTATCTGTGCCTGTTACTTTTCTTCCTGAATGTGTCAGTCTCATGATGAGGGCAGTGACTCCAGCTGATACAGACACAATTGCTGATTGCAAAGAGAGGCACTGCCGTGAAAATAAAGAGAAGAGAGGTTTATTTCCGTCATGGTTCGGGCTCTGTGAGCAGTCCCTGTCCCACAGAAATACACAGTCCTTTTGTATTTTGAGGAGGGTGCTGAGGTATGTGAGACCACAGTCACTGAGTAGTGAAGAGAGGATGAGTGACCTTGGGAACAAACTTCTGGGGTGGAATGCTCAAAACCTGGAGTCACCTCCAAGAGGAAGGAAAAAATCTCACTGGTGTCATGAGATTCGGTTCTCAGCTCTCAACACTCTGCATCGTTTCAAAAATCTGGCTTCATTTTGGTGTTGTGATGGGAGCGGGGACTCGCTTTGCAGGGTAGGAAGCAGGATTTCTTCATCTTCCCTCTGAATATTTGATGCTGGCAGTAGAGGAGTGAGGAACGAGGTAATCTTACACAGGATGGCAGTAAGCCAGTTGAGGATGACTTCTGGTCCCCACTGGAGGCTCAGAGCTTTGGATGCAGCCCAGCTAAGGATGAAGCAAGCTCATGTTTAAGAGTATGTGTCCAGCCACATGTGCAGAAGGTTCGGTGCTGGTGGCTACCAGCAGAAACCAGGTCAAGGGATTCCCAAGCAGCTCACAGCACTTGCCAGGGGACCCCAAAATGTCACATCCAGCTTCTCACCCTGCACTCTGTTGGGGGGAGGGGCTGGCAAGTGATGTGTGAGGTGTTGAGTCAGTAAAAATGTCAGAGCCAAAGGTCTCCAGAGTCAGAGTGACAACGGGAGGAGACACCAGTGCCAGGAGTTCTGACACAGGGAAAATGCTGTCACTGCCAACACCTCTGTCTTAGAGATTTATTGATGATAACTTGGGATGTGCCATAAACAGGGGTGATATTAAACGAGTCTGACTGTCTCAGGGGCTAAGTTTTACAACCCAAAGTGTGAACTCTCTCTGCCTGACTGAGATCCTGAGGCATTTTTCCAGCAGCTCCCACGGTCTCATTAAATGCTCTCCTGAGAAGAGCTTCAGCCCAGGAGCTTTCCCTGTGCAGCGCAGCGCCAGCTGCTGGGATCAGACACAGTTATCCGACGGAGAACCCAGTGTGCACCCTCAGAGCTTAGTCATGGAGAGCTCCCAGGCCACCACCACTGCCTCACTGAGCCCACAGCCTTTCCCTGCATGGCTTTTGGAGGAAACCAGAAATGTCCAGGCAGGTGTCCCCAAGTACCAACACACCCCTGGTGTCAGCAGCTCCAACCTCAGTGCCTGCAGCTCATGCCTGGGGACAAATCTCCCTCATAGTTGTGCTATGAGTGTATTGAACCTAGGTGAACCTTTGCTGAGATGCCCTCTCAGAGCGGTCTCATTTTCTGAGATCAAACCTATGGCTTCCTCCTGGAGTTATTGGCCACAAAGGGCTGTGCTGTCATGCAAATGCTTTCCTTCTGCACCTTGAAAGCATCTGGGGCTGCAATAGCAAGCTCTAGCTGCAGACTTCTTTCCCCATAGTAAAAGAGCTACAGGTCCCAGACAGCTGTCATCCCAAGGAGGCAGGGCTTGGTGAGCTACTGTGCTTTTCTGCTGAGGAGTTCCCTGGTTCAGATAATACATTTTGTCCCAGAAGCAGCAAAATCCTGAGGATACTGAATTCATTCTCCTGTGTCCCTTCTGCCTACTGAAGGTAAAGCAGGTCTGTGGTAATGCACAGAGCACCCCATGGCCAGAAGGTTGTGGCCACCAACCCACAGGCCACAAGGAAAGTGATCTTACCCAGAGAAACTACAGCTTATCCCAGGGAAAAGATTTATTTTGGTGACTTGCCTGAGAAACCTCCTTGTCCTTCTGCCCTCATGACCTTTTTTTCTGCTTCTCCAGTCTGCTCGCAGTTCTCCAAGGGCGTCTATGCCATCTTTGGATTTTACGAGAGGAGGACCGTCAACATGCTCACGTCCTTCTGCGGGGCTCTCCACGTCTGCTTCATAACGCCAAGCTTCCCTGTTGAAACATCAAACCAGTTTGTTCTCCAGCTTCGCCCAGAGCTCCAGGATGCCCTCATCAGTGTCATCGAGCACTACAGCTGGCAGAAGTTTGTGTATATTTATGATGCTGACCGGGGTAAGTCACAAGTATGTGGGAAGGGTTACCAAGCAATTAAACATAGTGGTCTAGATGGAGTCTTTGCCTCAAGAAGTCATTTTACTGTGGATTGCTGGAGACTGAGAGGGTGGTTAAGGGAAGGGTCACCCTATGCCTTCCTTGTCCTCTATTCCTTTTCTAAATATTCATTCCTGCTGAAGGTGGGCATTGATCACATGAAGCATTAACCTGACACAGTATACCTGCATTCATGGGGTCGGAGCTGAACCCCATCAACACAAGGGAAATATTTAATGTGTAAGTGGTTTGAATTTCAAATGGGGAAATTGTCTATCTTAAATAGGTCCCATATTTAATAGGTCTGTTGAACTCAAGGTCACTAAGATGCACATTTATAAATGTGAACCAACAGCTGCTCAGGTCTCACCCGAGCCCACATCCAGTTGTGATATGTGTGTATGTTTCTGGCAGGTAGCTTGAAAAACTCCCAGGTTCCTTGTGTTAGTGAGTGTTATTTGTCTATGTAAAACAGCAAAAGCCTTTGTTGGGCTCTTGGAAGATATTATCTAACTTTCTAAACCATGAACAAGGCTAGTGAGCTCATTGCTCTGTGATTTATTTTCCCAGCTCTCAGATGTCTTTAAAACTCTAGGTTTGGAGGCTGAGAGCAAAATGGACTTCTGGAGGACAGTGCAGAGGTAAAGGTGGTTCACAGCTCTGTCCTGGAAGGTGTCATTAGCCCTTGCAGGGACAAGATGACCTTAAGAAACAAGGGGAAAGTGTAAAAGCATCCTGCCCTGCTTTCTGTTGTCACGAAACATGGGCATGCTCAGTATCCCAAAAGAACTGCAGTAGGCAGGGTTGTCTAGCAGGACTTCAGAGTAGTGCTGAGTACGTATATCTCCTCTGAAAGGCTGTGCGTGTAATTTATGCAAGATCCTTTTAAAAATAATGAAGTTTTCTGATGAGATACTGCCAAGAGAGACAAGGATGCTGAATATCATTGTGTATTGTGATTGCTGAGGGTGTCCCTAACCCTAGGACAGTGTAAACAGATGAAAGAAGAGAAGGAAACTATGGCCCAAAGAAATCAAGTGATTTGGGTAGTGAGAGACAAGAAGATGGGGATTAGAGCTCTTATCTGAATCCCACAGTAGGGCCTGATCAACGAGACTGATCTGCCGATTACAAAGAAAACTAGGCCTGGAATCGTCTTATTTTCCTGTGCTAAGATAGAAAAAGCAGGAGTCATTAATTCTAGCCCAGCTGTGTTTGGGTAAGATGCTAGACTATTAGCTGCACTCTGTAGTTCTGCTGCGCTCTTGCGATGCTGTACCCAGCCCAGCTTGAGGCCGTTATGTGGGCTGTCAGAGGGATAGAAAGCTGCCATTGCACAACTAAAACCTGGTTCTCCCACTACTGTCCTCTTCCCATCGCAGGGTTGTCAGTCCTACAGAAAGTGCTGGACACTGCAGCTGAGAAGAACTGGCAGGTGACAGCTGTCAACATCCTGACGACAACAGAAGAGGGCTACCGCATGCTCTTCCAGGAGCTAGAGAAGAAGAAGGAAAGGCTGGTGGTGGTGGACTGTGAATCTGAGCGGCTGAACATCATCCTTAGCAAGGTTGTGTTGGTGTGGGTCTTTTGGGAGGGGTCTTGCATGCAGGACAGGAAGGGCTGTTTCTCCTAGAGAAGTTCTCCTCCCCATTCTTGTCTCATCCATGTCTCATTGAAGCTCTCGTTGCATGTGATGTGTGTGTATTGCAGCAGCCTGCTGAGCTTGCAGGTATTTCTCCATTGTGTTATTGTGGAAACTGCAAAGCTGTAGAAATACTAGGAGCTCCCATGTATTCGTGCTGAGTGAGATCTGCTGCTCCATGTTCCCTACTTGACTGACTCCTCTGCTGAGCCTTTTACTCCCCAGCAAGTCTGCTTTGTGCTAATTCTTCCAAGCAGTGTGCACAAGACGTGGCACTTCCTATTCTGCCGAGCTTTTCTCCATTTTTCCCACCTCCTGTGAGTTAGGGTGGAGGTGTGAATCGGCACTGCCAGACTCCTGGTCCTCCAGCCTCCATGTGCTGCACCAAATTCTCACAACCACTGCCAGCAGGACAGTGATGGAGAAGCTTAATGGTACATCTGTAGTGTCCTCAGGAGCAATGTCTCCAGATCAGGCTGGAGCTCGGCATCATCCCAGGGCATCCAGGCTGCAGTGGGATCGGATGTTTCCAGCTCCTCTCGTGCCTTGCAGTGAGAGAGACTAGTTCATTCCTGCCAGCTCCTGGCTGTTTTGTCAGCTTATGGCCATGAGGCAGATATGCAGCAGAGATATGGGATATGCAGCAGAGAACTCAGCAGCCAGGTTGTGTGTCCTGCCTTACTCATCCTCAATCTATATAGGTTGCCCAGTAGTGCAGACCCAAATATTCCCCATCCTCCTTCCTCTATGCCTCCTTTAATACTTTCCCTAAATCCTGAATATGGACTTCTGTGGACGCGAGATCAATGCAAACCAATGGACAGATCTGTCCATGCTTGTGTCCTTTCTTCAACTTCAGCCTTAATATTTTTGCCCCTCATACCTACAGCCAAAGCTTTCCCCACAGCTGGGACTCCTGTCCCACATGGCTTAGAAGGAGCCCCGCAGCACCACGCAGACGGTGCGCAGTGACTCCCACTATCGCACTTCTCATAACCAGCTCACTCTTGCCTCGTGCTTCACACGTCGCTTTGTCTAAGCTACCTGTCATCTCCTGTCTCACACTTCAGCTGCTCGCTGTCTGGGGCAAGGATTGCCATTTCACCAGCTGCACAGCTCAGCGACAAGCACAATCCATCCTCGTTGGATGTCTCTGGGTGCTACTCCATTATATAGAATAACGAAGCAGGTAACAGGTTTTAGCCTCAAAGGAAAGATCATGCTCATGAAGGAGAGACCAGATTATTCTGGAGGGTAAAGTCTTCTCTCTGATCACAGAGCAGCTGCAGTAGAACAAAATCTTTGACAGGATCTAAGTGGTGAATTTGCCTTTTCTGCAAGCTTTCCTTTAGGGTATATCAGATTTCTAGGGTTAACATTGTGGGGGTTTTAAGCCGGGTTTGTCTAACAGAAAACTAAGTTCTGTAGTCAAACGTTATCTCATTTTCCTAATATGAATAGGAAAATAAGTGGGTTGTTTTTCAAACTTCTTTACAGAACTGGAGGAAGAGTTAAACTTAGATATAAATAAAGCTATTTGCAAGAATACTAAAAAAAAACCAGATCTTGTGATTATATTTGTTTTGCCATGCTGTAAAAAACAACCATTAGAGACAGAGCAATTCCAACAGACATCTGTGCCTAGAAGGTAATGCTCCTGTTACGGATAGGTCTGCAGATAACTTTTTTCAGACTTGTGTAGTCCATTTTTATCCTCATTTGACTTCTTGTTCTGAGTCCACAGGGATTTCTGAGAGCAGAGGTAGTTATCCCAGTGTAAGCAGGAGACACCGGGTCTTTCAGAACATGCAGATGACCGGAGGGGATCAAAGATACTGTTCGGCTCATTATCCTGTGAAATTCAGCTGGGACCTAAACTCGGGCTGGGGGCCAGTTTCTCAGCTCACTGCACCAGCAACCTCTGCGTTGATGTCACTGCTCTGTTTGCCCTGTCTCTTTGAGTGTCTGAGGTGTTCAAAGAGCTGCCTCAGCATCTCAGGGGCTTTTAAATGCATTTGTCTTCTTCCCTGACAAGCCTGTCTCTGTCTTTCCGTGGCTGTGGATTTGTGCTCCCTGGTGAACAGAAGAGCTGGGGATGGCTCTTTAGCATCAGTCCCTCACATGTACACACTGGTGCTTGCACACACTTTTAATTTCTTCTTCCCACCCCATACACACAACACAAATAACCATCGCTGACTCCAGCAAGGCAGACCTCACATTCTGGAGACCGTAGCTGTAGAGGAGCCGGTGTTCAATGTGTTAACCATAAATGGGAAAATGACCTGATTTCTTTCTGGGAGATTTCACTCTGTTATGTCTCAAGGGTATGATTTATCTTTGCTGAGGTAACTGTCGTTTATAAGCCAGGCCTTGGTTCAGGGCAGGATATTTGCGGGGCCGCGCTGTGTAGCCTTAATGGGCTAAGAAAGCGGTGGGTTGTATTCCATCAAAGCCCTGTATTGTTTCTTCCTTGTCTCTCATTAAAATGAATAACTGGAATTTCTCCTTTGCCACTGTTTCACTCTGAGAGGATTTCTCTCTAATAGATGTCAAACTGGCCCATTAAGAAGTGGGTAATGAAACCTAGGTGGCCCAAGTGAGCTATCAGCATGCAGCCCAGCACAGCCTCTCACCATGTTCAGAGTAAGTGATAAATGCTATTATAACCTCAGCTTGCTACTGCCGTCCGGACACATTAGGACTGAGCAAGCATTCTAAAATAAATTAAGATCACAAATAACTGTGTAAAACACAGGAAGCAAGCCTCATAATTCAGGTGGATGGGCTGCAAGATTAACAGCTCAGGGAAAGCTGGATGGCAGCCCTCTCCGGTTCATCGACTCTGACACCTAATAAAATAACAAAGGGAGAGTTTGGGCAGAAGGAGCCAATGCCAGCTATTGTTGACACTGGAGAAATGGGGAATTGGATCGTAATTCTTAGACATCCCAGTGCCCCAGAGATGCTCTTTCCTCCCACAAGGTCTAGGACTTACTGCAAAGGTCAGTCATAGTTGATGAATGGAAGGGGACAAGTTGGGTCTGGTTTTGCTTCTCAGATCTGGCTATGGAAGATAATCAACCAACTACCCATAATAAGAGTATATGTCTTTATAGCATCAGGTATACAGAGTTTTTTTTATGAGGACTTCAGACTGCTCAGCAAAAGCCATACTGAGGGATCCTGTTGGGAGAACCTCAGGGCAGTGGAGCTGGTGGAGCTGACATTAGTTGTGTAAGAAACTGCTACTAAATGAAGCCTGCATTGGAGTTAATTGCCACCCCCACATTAATGCTGGGAACCAGATGAGTTTTAATGTGCATACAAGAGCACTTCATCAGGGAAAGGCTAAGGCAGATGAACCAGTTGCACAGAGCAAGCGTCAGCTCATTTATAATCCATTTGGAAATCCCTAAATGGCTGTTCATGATAATCTGGGAGTGTTGTCCCATGGGGAGGATCAGTCTGTGTGCGCCCTCATCTGATGCTTCTCAAACACCTGCTACCAGCCTGCTATCAGAGAGAAGTCCTGTGTAGACCCATCTTTGGCTGAATCCAACACAACAGTCATTTTATCATCATTCTGGCTGTGAGGATGTTTCTGGCCTTGCTAACATTCATGCAGATTTTGCCTAAGCGTTGGCAATGCAGGCAGTAGCTCAGAATCAATTCATATGACAATGGAAATAAGAGGTAGAGTTGCCAGCAAAGAAACCTTATGGAAACAGCACAATTATCTCAGAAACTGGCAATTCTTCTGTTTTTACAGGTTCTGAGGGCATGTTGGTTTGGGATTTTTTTTCACTGTCTGTTTTCTGTATGTGGATTGGCTCAAAAGGCAGATGGTATCTGTCTCTATTCACCTGGTAAGAATTTAACAGTGGTGCTGGAAATCCATGAAGAAGAATTTCTGTGGAAACATGGAGTCAGCAAGAATAATTTGGTTTTTAACAGTATTGTTTCTATATAATTTTTTTTAAATCAAGGAAGAAAAAGACAGCTGGGGACAATCTGATCAATGACCTTGTCCCCCATAGTCACAGGCAACCCTGCAACAGATGATGCCTTTCTACTTAGGCAAGGAAACTTTTCCAGCTAACATAGAAACTTTCAGATGTTACAGATCCATAAGCAATTGTGTTGATAAAAGAGAATAAACCCCTAACTTAACAGGCATCAGGGAGAAAGGAGGAAGTGTCAAAGAGCATCTATTGGGACACCATGAGCGTGAAGATATAAAGAATCTCAATGAGCATGCAAGGGTGATCCTCTGTTGAGTGACTTGCTTTGTTCTGGAGATGTGGCTTGAAGGTATCCCAGTGGACTAAAGGAGAAAAATTGCCCTACAGTCTAAACCTCCTGACATCTCGCCCAGGCAGGTGTCTCTGGCAGGGACTGTAGATGGGAGGATGTGCAGAATAACTCTCTAATCTTGCTCAGAGTTTCAGCTGCATTCACAGGACAAATGGACCCCAGCTTCCACTTTGTTCCTTTAATGTCTGAAATATAAATCTTGTTTAACCTTCTTTTAGAAAAAGCACTGTATTTCTATCCCTGAGCCCAGAGGAGACAGGTTGGTTCAGGCAGTTTATTCTCGCTGCCTGTGGAATCTGCCTGGGGATCTTGTCCTGTCTAATTTCAGACTTGCTGCTCAAATATCATGTGTTAAAGCTCTTTCCTTCCTCTAACAAGATTGCGAACTTCTATTTTGCTGTGGCTTCTTGTCTTCAGCAGTCTCATTGGGGGAAAATGGGGAGGAAGCATAGATAAACAAAGCTCTACTTCATTAGCTAGCTGGTCTCTGCTAAATATCCTTTGTTTTCTTCTTGCAGATCATCAAGCTTGAAAAGAATGGGAATGGCTACCACTACATTCTGGCAAATTTGGTGAGTTGCCCTTCGCTGTTTTTCTCGTATCATATTTTGTAAAGCACTATCTTACAGTTATTGAGCTGGAAGTCTTTTTTTTCTAATCCACTTTTTGGGTAGAAAAAATACCTAATTCCTTTGTGATATTGTCCTTGTGGAGTTTTGTGTCTTGTGCCAGCAAGATAATCTTCAGGGTATCTCCAAGGCTGCTGGATTATTGGATTTTTTGCCTTCAGATTCAATCTGCATCTTTTCAAAGCCAGTTAAGTGAACTGTCAATTAATGCTTGTTCTGATAATGATTTTTTTTACATGTAATGGGCACCTGGGGTCATGGTATTGCCTTCCAGCTTCTTGGTCAGGCCACCAAGAAGTTGTTGACCGTTGGTAACAACTTGCATTTTCTAACTAGTTTTAACTCCACTTCAGTGTGTCCCCCCAAAGTGAAGTGTTTCACAGCCATTCTGAGAGCCCCACTAAGAGCAGACTAGTTAATGACGATGCTCCAACATCCCTCTGACCTTCCAGTAAAAATAAAATATGTACCTATTCTGCAAATTCTAAATCTGATCTGACTGTCATAGCTCAAAGGAATGAATTGGAATTAAAGATTTCTTTAAGGAAAGAATTCTCCCTTTAATGCAGGAAGGCACTCCCTGAGGACAGAGCTGTGATGGGCAGCAGCAGGGCCACCTTTCTGGAGTGATAAGTTGTCCTCTTCTAGGAGACTGGAGAATTTCTCTGCCTAGGGAGGTTTGGGAAGGGGTAAAAGAGAGGAATAGCCTCAACCTGTAGGGCAGCTGGAGTTTTTCCACAGTAGAGCTCCTACCCTCTCCTCCCCAGATGTGTCCATCTGTCCAGGGCGATGTACTGCAGAGGACGGGCTGGTGTCTGTACCCGGGGGCTGAGGCTGCTCCCCACCAGGACCCGCGGTGTCCGTGTGGGTCTGGAGCTGTTCTTCCCTCCAGCAGCTGCATTTGCGAGGCAGCACGTCAGGCCTAGGGTAATTAAACTTTAAACTACCAATTAGTCAAGCAGTTGCTGCCGTTCTCCTTCTCTCCATCCCAAGATAACTCTGTAATTTACAAGACAAAAATGGCCACATAATTACCCTGCGATGCTCTGATACTGACCCTGCACTTCTGCGCTGGGTGCCTACCATATAATTACAAAGTTAAAAATGTTACGTTGTGCAGGGGGAGACATGCGAACTATAGAGCAGCCAATAACTTCAGTTGCTAATTTTTTAAAAAATTATTATTTGTTGTAACCCAGGTCCCGGTCCTCAGATGGTTATGAAAGTCCCTTCATTACAGTTGAACAGTGAAGTTATTTTGAGTAGCTGGAGTGTGTGTGTCTGTGCACTTTTGTGTAGACCCATGTGGAAGGTGAAACCAGAATATCGCCTCTTCTCTCTGCATGGTTTCATAAGAATAAATATATTAGAGGCATGAGATGGTCTAATACTCAGGTGTTGGAGTTTTGAAGGACATTTCCCTTTGTCTTATGATACCACGCTCTCCCACTTTCAGCCTGAGAAAGCACACTTTTCCCCATCTTCAATTTGTTTTCTTAGCCTTTGCACAAATGCTGAGAGGACAGAGCTGGCTGGAAGAGGCTGCATACTCAGCCAACATGGGTTATAAATAATTAACTCAGAGCAAAAAGGCTTTTCTTTTTTCCAGCCCCTCCTCAGGGAGATTCTGCCTCCCAGCTGCAGCTCAGTGGAGGGTGCTTTGGGTCCCTGGGACCCACAGGATCTGCCAGGACCACCAGAATCCACTCTTTCTAGCTGTGCTTTTCAAGCATCTTTGATTTGAGGGGAGAAGAAGAGTGAAAGGAATTCAGGCTCTTTCCTTTAGTCTTTCCTGCTCCTCAGAATGCAGCGCTGCACAAGAGGCAAACTCCAGAGATAAGAATATAAAAAAAAGAGAGAAAAAAGAAACCCAAACCAAACAGAAATATAGGAGGGAATAATCAGATAACATGGGAAAACTATTTTAAAAAACCAAACACTAGCATTCCTGAAGATTAAGAAGGCCCTTTTTGGGGCAAACAAGCTTTGCCTTGCACATGGGCACCAGAAGTCAAATCAGTTTGTGTAATGTGCTGCACCCTCTGGAGAGCTATTTGCTGATGGGTTCTGCAAGGAGAATGGCAAAAAGGCCGTGAAGATCCCATGTTTCTGAGCCCGTATGGCAGTGAGGAAGGACAGCAAGCCTCCCTGTGTGGGGATGGCTGGGGATGTTACAAGGGGTTGGCAGAATGTGGGAAGTCAGCGTCTGGCAAGGTTAAACCATAGTGCGGATGCTCCAATCCAAGAGATCACAGTAGGTTTTACCCTCCTCTAAGGACATCTCGTTGCCTGGATTAGAGCCTTCAGAAGGTGTAACATGCTGTAATTTATTCCCACTGACTCATACGCATAGTGGATAGACCTTAAACACCCCACATTTTCCCCTGTAGACAAGTCCTAAGATGACAGGGTGTGCGCTGCCCACACACACACATACCCTCATGTCCACACCCGCACGCCTAGGAAACAGCCCGATTTTGTGGAAGTGTTCATTCTGGAGTACTGGGTCGTAAGAGAATAAATTAAGAACTAAAAACTGCAAGTGCCTGAACGTTTTCAAATGAGTTATTTTTTGTCCCCTGTGCTGACTGATGGAGTCCTGATTTTAGGACTGTCATCCTGTATGAAGATAAAGCTCCCCAGCCCTAGCTGGGACAGGCTCTGCCTTGCACGAGTCAAGTGAGCCCTCAGCTGGTTCGTAGCCACCAAGTCACCTGCACTGCCTGGAGCAAGGGGATGAATTTTCAACACCTGCCTTTTACAATACTCCCTGACCTTCTACAACACTGCCTAACCTTCTTGGGCCCTTTCCCATGGGGAATCAATAATGGAAATGACATATTTGAAGCAAATGTTGGGAAATATTTAAGGATAACCCCACTGAAATTGGCCCATGGGGAATCAATAATGGAAATGACATACTTGAAGCAAATGTTGGGAAATATTTATGGATAACCCCACTGAAATTTGTATTTTCATCTACATGCTTGCTTAGAGCTATATTCAGCCAAAAATCAAGCAGCAGCACACTTCTGCCTAGTTACAGCTGTTCCAAACTGGTGTTACACCAGGTAGGCAAAACAAATGAGTTTGCAAGGCAATGCCCAGGCTGAATAAGGCCTGCAAAAATCATCCATTTTGAACATGGAGGAATTCCCTGTCTGGTCACAGACAATTCATGAACAAAGAGGAACTGGCTTGCATTAATCACCGCTTGTTTGCCCAGTGGTTGCTGTTGGGTGAGCTGTAGTAAAGCACCAAGCAGAATTTGACAAGTAGCAGCAAATGAAAGCTAGTATTTCCTAGCAGGAACAACTTTCTTTTTCAGTGAAATTGCTGTTGCCAAGGTGAGACAATAATATTTCTATGTTCACAAACAAAATGAAACTGTTCTGCACCTTAGGCCATGGACAAACATCCTTTTCCAAATCTGCTGTGCCTCTTAAAGGCCCAGCCTGTCTTGTCTTCTCAACTCTCCCCATCCCATGAAGGACTGTCTGCAACACTGCTGCCAGGGGAAGGGTTCCTGTGAGCATCCGGCCTCTCCTTGAGGCAAATTTGGCACTGTCTGTGGCTTTTGCAAACTCATGAAAACTGAGCCTTGACCGGTACCTGTCAAAGTTAACCACAATTAGCTTTACCAGCTGCCAGCCCGGATATTTGTCAGGAGTACCAGCACTGGGGGGCTGCAATCATTTCTCTCTTTCTCTGTATGTCTATTTTTATTTTTGGAATTCAAAGAGGTTTGCCAACTTTAAGAAGTGTTTGGTTTTGTGAGTCTTATTTTTCCAAGCTTTGTTCTCAGCCTTTGAGAGCATCAGCCTAGAAACCACAAAGCATTAAAAAATAGCCAATACTGTCAGAGGAACAAGCTTAGAAACTTCTGGGATTCCTTTCTTTTGATGTTACAGGCTTTTTCCCCATAACCTTGGCCTCATGTTTCTGTTTGTTCTATGCCAGGGATGCAGGCTGACTACTGCAAGTAGTGGGAGAACATCAGCTCTCTTGGGCAGAGGAAAATCTTTGTCTTAAAATAAGTGACATTTGCATGACCTGTCTTTAATAGAAAAGTATGACGGACAGCTGCCACTTACAGTGTGTTAGCATTTCTTTTCCTGGCGCATTAGTCCAGGTTGTTCTTTTAGCAAATGCTCTTGTTTTAAGTTGAATAGGTAAGTGTACGAGATTGCTGATGCTAGGGGTAGTGGGGAAGAGTAAAAATAAAAACTGAGTTGATTAGCAGAGGTAAGCATTTTTTCCTGTGCCATTTTACATCAGCATGTGTCAGTGCTGAGTTAGGCCATGGGCAGAGTTTCACTTTGCAAGCGGTTGTGGTGGCTTTGGAAGTTACCAGCACAGCAGCTTTGCCAGCAGAGTGGCTTGTGCAGGAATAAGGCAAATCTGTAGCTTTGGTTTAGTTCATGTGTGATTTAAATGGTCCTCCTTGACATCCCCCAAAAATGAAATTGAGAACTTCTGCACCACCAGGGCTGAGACACAGTGAGCTGAGACTGAGCAGATGGGGCAGACAGCAAAAAAAGGGATCCACTCCCGAATTGGCTGTCAAAAAGGATGTCCACGTCCCTGAGGAGTGAAGTTCTCCCAGCACAGGCAGAGATTCACTGCCCTAAAGCCACACAGCACGTATACAGCCCGCAGCGTGGGCTGTGGCTGCGTGGGGAGGGTCTGCTGTGCCTGGGCTAGGTATGAGCCCAGGGCAAGAAGCTGTACCTGCCACAGCGTAAGTGTGACCTGTGGCACTGACTGTGTGTTGATGGCCCCACTACCTACATCCAGCCCCTGAGTCATCTTGCCTGGAGCTAAAATGTTGCAGTTTTCAGTCTCCTATCAGCTTGAAACCTGCCATGTTTATATTAATCACCCTCAGCTATTAATGCTGTCTCCTGCCTCCTGAAGTATTACTGACAGAAAGTACACACAAG